ACGTTACCAACTGAAGTTTAAAAGCTGCATGAATTATTTCAAAAGTAACTTAAAATATTTTTTTCTGTAGTCCAACAAAACCCGAAGAGGTCATATTTAGCTTGCACATTGGTAAACATGTTGAAAAAATTCATAGCACACAAAATGAGTACAGTATATACATTCCACTAAGAACATGCTTGTGCTTCGCGTGTAGTTTCTTTCCTTATGCAAAAGGATGAGAGGAAGGAAAGTTATTTTTCTCTCGTCACATCAGTTGTCTAAATTATTTCTCTAGTTTCCTGTATCATAAGAAGAAATGAAAATAAGAAATGTTGACCATTGTAATATGTGAGAGTCCCAAGCTTAAAAAGTAAAGATTATCTTCATCTTTTTATTTTATAGCTCTTATGTGTATATTCAAATACAAAATGGGAAATTGTCAAGTTAATTACACATCTCATTTCCCATATTTGGTTTGCCATTGGAGACTACAGTTTTGGTGATGGGAGAAGGGGTAAATTTTACTGAGAAAGACATCTTAGAAAACAAACAATCCAAAAACCTGAAAATGTGCAGCATCCAGGAAGATGGAAATCAGAACACTCAGGTTTTATCAAAAAACCTGAGCAGTGATTGACAACAAGTGTCACGTGGAACGTGCAAACCAGAGAGGTGAGGGACGGCGTGACAAAAAGTCAGCATATTCTTTCTTCCCAAATGATATCAGTTATTCAACATTCTTAAGAAAGATGTCCCCTAATAATGCCCAGTGACTGTTGAGAGGAAATATTGCACATATGTATTTTCTTCTTTTGGACTAGCTTTCCTTCTTTTTTCAGTTTTATTTACACATATCCACATCATAAAATTCAATTGTTCAATCATGTCAAGAATTGTACAATCATTACTACAATCAATTTCAGAACATTCTTCCCACCCCTATGATTAAATCACCTTTAAAATGAGTTGTATAATCACATTCATTTCTAGCGCTCTCTCCCCCTCCTGCCTTCGTTGTTTACTCCTGAAATCCCCTTGCCCTCCCCATTTCTCCCACGCCCCACCCCTGCACCCCTACAAATCTTTGCATCAGTTATTCTCTCTCTGCAGCCCTTCCTTCTGTGCTTCACACGCTGGTAAACCCAATGGAAACAATAAAGCACAGAAATGAAATGAGGTGGCCAAGATGAAATAATAGGAATATAAAGATAAAAATACCAACAATCAACAAGAAAGAAAAGACCTCCATCAATGTTTAAAAAGCCACGGAATGGATTTTTGCATTAACAAGCAAGAGATCCTTGCAGCTAGAAGGCAGGTTAGGTTTAAACGCTACAATAGCGGTTCTCAATCTGTGGGTCCCGAGCCCTTTGGGGGTCAAAGGACCCTTTCACGGTGGTCACCTGATTCATAACAGGAGCAAGATTACAGTTATGAAGTGGCAGCGAAAATAATTTTATGATTGGGGGGTCACCACAACATGAGGAACTGTATTAAAGGGTCGAGGCAGTAGGAAGGTGGAGAACCACTGATCTAGAGGGAGGTCAACTGGCCAAATATCAAGTTTGATCCAACATAATCAGGATTACAATGATCTATGTTTGATAGTAAGGCTGTTCCAGGCATTTGCTTGTGGCTGGAGGGGATCTGCCAGAGTATCTGACTAGATACCCTGCAGGTGGTTTTGGGCGCCCACTGTTCTCAACAGCCTTCCACAAATTGGAGGTTCACAATTTAAGCTCTGATACTTTTCCCTTTGTCATATTTGGATTTTGTTATTGTCATCTTTGGCTCACACAAGCTGGTGTGCTTCTTCCATGTGGAGGTAGTTGATTCCTCACTTAGAAGGCTGTTTGTTTGAATACAAGCCTTTAAATGCCCAGACACAATTCTGATTGATAGCCAGGTACCCTCCTCTCTCTTCACCACACTAACACCCTTACCTTCCATGATCCTTTCAGGAAGGCAATGGTCATGTTCTCAGAACTAACTGTTGTACTGGGGCTAGAGTTCGGTAGGAGCTCAGAATCCACCTGTGTGTTCATGGAATAGGCACGACTGAGGTTTGCTTTGCTGGTCGGCTTATGACAAAACCGGACCCCTACTGGACCAACTGCATTAGCACCAGCAAATAAACAAACAGAAAGAAAGAAAGAAATGAAAACCAAGCTAAAGACAGGAAAACAAAAACCCAGGTAAACAAAAAAGTACATTGTCAATCGTTCCCCTAGGTTTGTAAAAGGCGGTTTCCCCAATGACACAGCACTGGGGACGCTGTTAGTCTGAGGCGTCCATGTGAGGACAGCTCCACCTTGGGCCGCAGCCCATCAGGTGTTGCCCTGCAGTTTGATCTCCCATTCTACTGAGCTGTGTACCATAAGCGCACATAGGTATTTTTCTACCAGGATCACCAGGACACACCATTTAAAAACCATCTTCGTTTTGCTATAAATTACTGTCAGTTGCTAAGTTTTAATAAACATTATAAAGTCCATTACAACTATTTTTTCTGCACCTAAATTTTTATGCTCTGAAATGAAAGGATGAACATTGAGTGCAAAAGATTTTGTTTTTCTTTAATTCTGAATCAACATTTTAATGAAAAGATCTCTGTAGAATCAATATTTATCTAAATTTAAAACTGCATAATCGAATTCATTCTTTGGGCAAGCTAATCAATTCAATATGCATATACCTACTAATAGAAATAAACAGAGGCATAATCCAGGAAATCTTTCCCAAATTTCCTTATAAAGGAAGAAAAACAAATATAGTAAGTTGTATCGTTAGGGAACCCTACCTGTAGGAATTCAAAAACAGGAAAGTTTATTAAAAAGATAACTTTAACCAAAACTGATTTAATTCTCATTTTTGAATTGGACCTTACTCTCAACTATCACTTATGGGCACCCTCAGGTCTAATCCTATTCTACAAAATATCAATTCTTCTTCCTCACTAGCAATGTCCACCTGGTTGTCCTTGGTTCTGGATTTTTCTGCAATGTAGCGATTCCTCCATAAATTGTTACTTAACAAACCTCCCCTTCTTTTTCTACAACTAAAAATAAGTTTTCTTCTTTGAGGTTCTTATCATTTATGAATTCAGGCATATGCAAAGGCATCCTGCCTTAAGTTCCATCTTAAAATTACTTTGATAATAGATAATAGTTTGTTTCATTTAAAACACCACCAGCAGCAATTTTTAAGAACCTTCTTCCCCAAGTTTATCTTTTCTTCCACTGCCCTCTGTTCAGCCCGGCCCACTCCAGGCCCACCAGACATCTTCGGGGATAGAACATGCCTACAGCTTTCTCCTCTGCGTTTCCTGCCATCTGGAACAGCTTTCTCGGCTTCAACCACTGTGCTGCTCCAAGTCTTAGGGGAATATGTTCAAAAATTCTTTTTTTTCCTTTAATCTTTGTAATTGTACTTTTAAACTCATGAAGTGACTAAAAAAAACTCTTAAGTCCATGAAGATGTGCATTTCTCATGCAACCTAAGGCAGTAAAACAACAATAACAACAAAACAAAATCACAATAGACTAATCTACACTACTGGGATTATTTAACTTGGACAGAAAAAATAAGTAATAAATTACTACAACAGTCAAATAAATTAGGGATTTAATGTTTATTGGTGGCCAGCTAACCTGTTGTTACCGATTACAAAGCAACTGTGTTCTAATTTAAATGAAAAGGTTTTCCAGCAAGATATAAGGGAGATAGTAAAAACGGTTAGATGATGCACCGACTTAGTAAAATCGGCTATCCTTATTTCTTACATATAGCCCAATATCTATTGTATCCGCTCATGTGCTCCAAATTGGATGCATTTTAACACTTTGTGAGGAAAGAAGCATTTGTGTAGACAGAAAGTAAGCTAGACATAAGTAGAAATATACAATATTGGGGAGAATTGTGATGTGTTAAATAAGATCCTTTTGATAGTTGTGTTGTATTATTCTGGCAGATTAGCATAAAAATGGTATTTTTTTGAAGAATGCATTCCATTTTTCTGTTTCTATGCTTTATAAAATAATGTTTTCACCATTAAAAGGAGCATGTCAAGTTTAATGTAACTTTGAAATGTCTATTTGCAGAGTTTTTTTGATTGTCTTCTCAGTATACTAATAGAGATAAACCAAATTTCATAAATGTTATAGAATTTCTTATTTACAAACACCTTCCTACCTTGTTCCAGAATGGACTGAATGGCAGCATTTGACTATTTTATTAGGATAATAGCCTGTCAAGATCAAGATTCAAAGTTTTTATTAGATGTTTGTCTTATTTTATATGATGCTAAGTGATGCACTTTAGAGTTTCAAATTTCAAGAATAGTTTATTATTCTCCTAAAGGGACCATATTTTTATATATATATATATATATATATGCTCTTGCATTGGAAAACTTTTAATATTTTTGTTAGTCTTTTAATTAAAAGGCATGAAGATCTCTGTAAATTTACATTTGATTTTTCAAGTTCATGAAAAAGTTAATCCATTACAATAATCTAATAGAAAGGCATGTGGATGGTATCTAAACTATCTTTGTACGCCAAAGTTAGCTGTGAAAAGAATTACAAGTGTCATTGCTATGGGAACAAAAATACAGAATTTACAGATAAGGTTTCTTATTATGTGATGTGTCTAGACCTCCTTTATACATATGGATAATAAACAACTTATTGAACATTAGTTAACTGATATAAAAATTCATAAATGGGCTTTATGCATACAGAAATTAAGAAGCTGAAGGGCTCAGTACTACATTCAGCTTATCATTCATTGTTAATTTGGCTGAAGAGAAATGTTAATTCTAAGCAGGCAATCTGCATTTTCTTAAAATAGAGTGACAATTACTAGTGACTTCAAGGACAAGAGTTACAACTCTCTCCATATTAGATATTTGAAAAAGTAATTCTAAACACTGTGAAAGGATAGTAAAAATATCAGAACATCATATTCAGAAAACTTAGAAATTTTCAGGGTATTTTTTAGGAACCAACTAGTAACAGCACACTTAAGAAAAACCTTTATTTAATGACTTCTAAATGAAAAGCCTACATACATGAGCTAATCATATTAGCTTTTACATTTACGTAACACCCACAATATACTTTTGGAAAACTTTACTCAGACAAATTTTAAATGCTATATCATAATTTGGTTTATTTGCCCTCTTAAAGAAAAACATGTTATCAGAAAGAATGAGATTAGCATAGGCACTTCAAAATTAGAAAATTCCAAATACACCCTTTGGTTCCCCAAATCTGCTTATTTGAAGAGCATCCTGATAAAATACCACACTCTGAGCATTATACTTTTTTAAAAGTTTGGGTAAAACAGAGAGCATAGGCCACAGCAATAAATACAGTTGCCATAAAGCATACAAAATGCCTATCTTTTCAAACCCTACCAGCAGGTAACTTTACTGATAATAGTTAGAAAGGAATTCATGTCTTTAAAAATGCAAATATTTTCAATATTTGAAGGATAATCCATGTCAATAAATGCGTTACTCTGATAATTATCAGGACTAGGGCAAATCATAATAACCTTCCATTTTCATCGTGCATTTACGAAGGAAATCTTTTTATAGTCTGTTATTCCAAAGCGGTTCAGGCTTCTTTTCTTCTTCCTCGGTTGTCTGCTGATTTCTGGGTGTTTTGGTTTAAGCTCTCACACCTTGCAGCCCAAGGCGGTTGCATTTCTCACAAGGAATGTGAGGAGCCAGGAGGTAGAAGGGCTTGAGGAAACACTAGAAAACCACAATACAGCTTGTTGAGTCCTTTCCTACAAATAACCTTTTGAAACCAGATCCATAAATTACAGTTTTATTATCCAAAAATGTTAAGAGGAGCCTTTTGTTAAATGTTAACAAAAGAACGACTATCTTTATTTCCTTAAAATGCAGACCTTAAGGGGAAACAAAACACGTTTGAACTCCCAAATCTTTTTGGAAGTACTTAACTCATTTGGAGATAAATATCACTTGGTGCCCTTGTTTTCTAACAAATGGCCTTTTCCATTGTTTCCATTAATTTCACCCATATTCGTTTTTAAAAGAAAACAAGGCCCTTATCCTCATCCCATCAACAAAACAGAGACCTAAGATTTAGCATTTAAAACCAGTAATTACATACTGTATTAATTTATGAAAAAAATTGTTTCTTTCCTTTTTGTCAGTTTTCAAGAAGTCTTCTTTTGACTAACTGTAAACATGAATGGTTTACACCTCACATTAGAAGTCACTGATTAGCATGACGAAGTCAACTGCAAGATACACAGATAATTTCAATTATTTAATCACTAATCACCTTTGCTAAACGGTAGTATCTTTCAATATCCTTCGGTAGACTATCGATCTGCTACTAAATTACCTCCAGCTCAGTAAGAAATAGATATTAGCGTCGTGTCCTTTTCTTTGCCTCAGATTTACATTATCCTTTTTTGGTAAACATTTTATAAAAGCTTTAAGGTTCCTTAATCCCAAATCCCTAAATAGACATTATTAGCCTTTTCTGGGAATCAACAAAGAGTATTTGAAGTACAATTCTGGAGTTCGCTTTGCCCGTTTAACAGTAATAATAATTTAAAAAAACATTTAAAAAATATACGCTTACGGCAATGGAAGTCATAAAAGAAATATGCAGAGGCGGCTTCAGCACATAATGGGCTTGCAAAATGCAAGCCCTTAACAAAAAAGCAGCTCGAACCTCTATTGCAATGTACAACCCTCCAATAAATTACACAACACTTGCATAAGCTGCAGAAATAACGCAGGACAAGACTTACACAGATGCCAATCCGCAGCATTTATACACATGCACATGGCAAGAGACAGAAACCAAACACTATCATTCAACTCGGGCAGTAGCGCGATCCTGAGTTTGCCCAGCGTGAGAGTGCTCTCTGCGCGTGTGTGTGTGTGTGTGTGTGTGTGTGTGTCAGCGCGCGTGAGAGTGAGACCCATCCTCTGGGCATTTCTCCTCTTTGGGCAGTTTTGCTTCATTTGTTTCCTATTTCTGCTACATAGAAACTAACTTCCATCTCAACCCCAGCCAGCGCCGCTGAATAGAACCTGTGCTGCGGCTCCGTGTGCGTCAGATCCCTCCGCGGAGTCAGCCCCGGCCCCCTCCCTCGCGCGATCGGCCTCCACAGAGAAAGCACCTTCCAGCCAACCAGCAGCTCCAGCTCCGACATCTTCTCTGACTGGAAATAAATAAATAAATCGAACCCTCGGCCGGGGAGGAGGGGGACCCGGGTCGCGCCGCGCTGGGTGTGGGGACGTCGGAGGTGAGAGGCCCGAGGCACTCCTTTTTCTGCGCCGGGGGCGGGGGCGCGGGCTGCA